CAGCAGCCAGTAAAAGCAAAGGGAATCCAATCATCATCCAAAAAATATACTGCAAGTCTAAATTTTATTATTATTTTGTTTATTCTGATTATGTTTTCTTTTTTGTATTCAATCTGATTATGGTTTAATTCATTTTTATTGTTTTATTTTATCTTGTAATTTCTTTTTGAAATTTCATTGGAAGTTGATTTATATTATCAATATTTATTGCATTTTGGATTCTAAGTATTGAAGTCATTTTGTTTATTCCTATTTTGATTTTCAGCCTCTATTTTAAGTTAATTGCTACTCTGGCAGTTAGTTTACGCTCACCCGGTTTACTTTGATTTTTTCCTTGCTTTTCCGAGCAATTGGACTTAGTTTCCAATTCTTTTTTAGGAAGTTAGACAACCCATCAACTTTTGACAAGCTCAATTCACTAAGACTTTTAAAACAATTCAAGCGACAATAGTTTTGGAATGCCTCGTGGGACACACCATGTTCGTATGTGTGGATGCATTTGAGGAATCGCACATTAGATAATCCAAGGACTTCAAAAGGTAGTCAAGGGCCAATGATAATGCGCGAGTTGACGAACAAGCTTTGAAGACCCATAAAATGTGTCTTGCACCGTAAGTCTCTTCCTCGGCAGAGGCTGACGAGCAGAATGTGATTATGCCGACAACCGTTCTGCAAGATCACATATGCGTGAAGATTCAGTCATCCCTCCCTGAGTCAGCCTAGCAGATTTTTTAGTATCTATTGGATATTCTTCACCGATGATACGCAACAAAATCACTTGTCTACGTGATGAGGAGAAGAGGAAGGAAAAAGACCTAGTTGATGCATTCGAGCATGAAATGAAGTCGTTTTTGTGTGTCCCCCAGCCGCCGACAGTAGAAATGCCAGTTTTAACACCATTGAAGTTCGGCCTGGTCTCAATAATCCATCATGGGCAGGAGGTCGACACCAAAAAATATGTCGGAAACATAGGATGAACCGAGATAAATTGTCATAGTTAGGGGGCAACAAACAGTCCGGAAAAGAGAATCCTATAGGGATAGGACAATTTTGAGGACTTTCTAAGTTACATGGTGGGATCAACCAAGGTCCAACTAGTTATCTCATTTCCAACATAATTCGGTATGACATCGTTGATCCCATCAGCAAGAGATGGGCCCAAAGAGGTTTGTCCTTACAACGCGCACCGAGGGACTATCAAGCAGCTGGTGTTTTTGCAAGCGGAGCAAGATCCCTTCCTGATCACGCTAACGCTAAATGTTGGACTTCGTATTTTTTAAGGTCCCCTACGAGCACCCTAAACGTGCAGACCAGCAGAGCAGCCTAAAAATCCTCTCATCAAGCCTCCTTGTTTCAATCACGAGGTGATTGCAGAGTTCACACGTGTGATACCTCCAGAGTCGAATCGGTGCTAGGTCAACCCATACGTTTGGACGTGTCGGTGTTAAGCCATGCGATAGTGATTAGAGATTAAATGAATTGATTTGACTACTCATGTCAATAATATGAATATTCATTTTTAGGAGCTTTACTAAAAGAACTCTAGAGGTAAACGTGCTTGCTCTAAAGTAATTTTAAAATAGGTGACCCCCTGAAAAGTCTCCAGGATGCGCGTTAGTGAGGAAAAAGTATGCTGAAAGGACTTGTGTTAATCTGTGGGGTCAGTCTATGATCTCAATATGGCCAACTTGTATGGCTTGCATGCTGTGGTGTTACTATTGGTATCAGAGCTAACCTACGATATCCCATAGTCATTGAATGGAGTGTTGAGGGGCTTAGTAGTTGACGGATTTTTGGGGTGCAATGTGGACATTGGAATTTTAAGTGGGGGAGGATTTGATACCCCCAAAGTTGGACCGGTGCTAGGCCAATTCTCGTGTATAAACTAGCTAGTGCTAGCGCATTCAAGAATAAAGATTAAATTGATGAATATAGATTAAATGAATTGATTAAACTACTCATGTCAATAATATGAACATTTTTTTTTAAAAAAAAAGCCCTATTGAAAGAACTTTAGAGTTAAACGTGCTTGTCCTAGAATAATTTCAGGATTGGTGACCCCCTGAAAAGTCTCCCAATATGCAAATGAGTGAGGACAAAACGTGCTAATAGGACTTGTGTTGACTTATGGAGCAAGTCTATGATCCCGAAATATCTGATTTGCGTAGTTTGCATGTCGGGATGCTACAATGCGTCAAATTTATAGAGATCCATTGTGCATGCCCACGTGGCCTCACTATTAGCTGTCTTATCTAGATTATATCATTGAAGAACATTCATATACTGGAATTCTCCTTATTCTTCGGGGAGGATTCATGTTCTACGATAGAGCCTACTAGCCAATTTACTATCCAATGTAGTAGTGAGTTCGGATATAACGAATGATTAGAACTATACTTGTTTTTCCTCTCATTTACAGGGCTTGACATTCAACTGGTACGCCGCCCCATAAGCTAATTTGATACGTTCATGGGCGGAGCTAGAAAGTGCTATCCATAAATGATTCCGCAGTTCTTTATCGAAGGTTACAATATCGGACCTCACCAACCTATGGTAGAAAAATAATGAATTGGTCGAGCAATTCTTTGAGTACTCCAAGCGCGTAGAAGGAAAATGTAACGTGCTCATCCCCAATGATCAAGTCGCCAACATGATTGTCGATAATATCTACCCTATCTTAAGGAGAAGCTCGTACTTCGAGAATATCATAACCTCCATCAACTAATCATCAAAGCTGTGAGAGCCAAGTAAGAGGACATACGCCTACACTGGACCTTATCTTTCTGAGCACTGAAAGAGGACCCTAACATCGAAGAGGGTTCAAAGGGTATAAACCTCGCGAAATTTATCGAAGGCACAACTATACTAGTTCAGCCTTGAGTGTCTCAAACCATGGGAAATGTCACGGTTAATTTCAATCCATCAAATCTTAGCAACTCACTCCGTCGGCTACTAAGGCAGGCTTCCCAACTTGGCCAAGCACCACAAACGCCAAGATCTTTTTATAGAGAAAAACAATTAGAGAGAGGAAGTGTTGAGAGAAACTATGAACATTTTAATTTCTAATGCTTGCATGAATACAATGAGAGGGGTAAAGGTGCTTTTATAGGCCAAGGACTCCACAAGACTATTCTAGAATGTACAACTATCATAGTTACATGTACAAAGATCTATAAGTACCTTCCAAAATAGTTTCTAAATATGTTAGGGAATATTCTCTTTCCAAAATGGGTCCATAATATGCCAAAAAATATTCAGTCTAGAATTTTCCACCAAGTTTGAGTGAATTTCTTTGCACAAGGAAAAAAATCCTAACTATCGAAAAACCACCATATCGCGGCCACCTCGAAGCCTAAATATGGTAATTCTCCCTCACCTAAGCCTTAACGTCCCCATCAAGTCCTTACTCGTTATGCCTCAATGTGGGACTTGAATTGCCATAGGTCTTATTCATTTTCCCATGCCTCGCTATCGACGCACCTTTCCACCGGATTAAGTACTCGGTACAACAGGGCATCCCCCGTTTGCCTATCTTGCGATCCACCATGATCTCCGCAACTTCCTTCTCGTATGATACCGTGTAATGGATGGACCACGGTGTGACTCGTTCCAAGACGGTCCTTCTCATCTTTGTGATATGGCTTTAACAAATTTACGTAAAAAACTGGGTGGATCTTGAAGTCATCAGGTAGGTTGAGTTGATAAGATTGAGTGCCAAGTTTCTTCACCACCTCGAACAATCTCTTATACCGCCGCGTCAAGCCTTTATGCACTTGACGGATCGCCTTTACATTTCTCCCTAACATCCGGACCAACAATTGGTCTCTAACTTGGAACTTCCGTAAACTACGCTTGTCATCCGCTCATTTCTTCACTCCTCGGCTGCCTTGGTCCAATACGCTCTTGCTATGTCATGTTCTTTGTTCCATCCCTTAGCAAGTTTGTACACTACCGGACTTGCACCCTCATATCCTTGTGCCAACTCTTGTGGCGTCGTCGGTTGTTGCCTTGTCACCAACTCAAAAGGACTCTGTTGAGTGGACTTGCTACGCTGCAAGTTATACGGGAATTTTGCAATATCAAGTAAACGAGCCCAATCAATTTGGTTGGCACTTACAAAGTGTCGGAGGTAGATCTCTAATAAGTGGTTCACCTGCTCGGTTTGTCCGTTAGTTTGTGAGTGGAAGCTCATCGAGAAGTGGAGGCTCGACCGTAATAGCTTGAAAAGCTCCCACCAAAATTTTCCTGTGAAACGGGGGTCACAGTCACTAATGATGCTTCTCAGAACTCCCCAATATTTGACCACGTGCTTAAAAAATAGTCGGGCAGCTTCCTTGGCTTTGCAATCCTTGGTAGCTGGTATGAATGTCCCATACTTGGTGAATATATCGACCACCACCATGATCGATCGACATCTATCCAACTTGGGCAAAGCCGAGATAAAGTCCATCGTCACACTATCCCACTGCCACTCAATAAGCAGTGGCTCCAATAGTCCCGCTGGTTTGGCTTGCTCAACCTTGTCTTGTTGATAAACCAAGCATGTCCGCTCAAAGGCATTGATGTCGTCCTGCATGTTAGGCCAATAAAGAAATTGCTCGACCAATGCCTTAGTACGTTGAATACCTGGGTGTCCTACCTATTTGGAGTCGTGGCACTCTTTAAGAACATCTCGCCGAAGGTTATCCCACCGCGGCACATATAATCGGTCCCCGACCGTGAATACTAGGTCATTCTCTTCCCAAAATTTTCATGTCGTACCATTCTTAGCCATCTCCACCAAGTTCATGGCTAAGGGGTCCTCGACCAATCCTTCCTTGATCCGGTCGGCAAGGTCTCCTTGCACTTGGGTGATCGTGCGAATGAGGTCTTCCGACTAAGTGCATCCACCATAACATTGGCTTTGCCCAGCTTGTACACCAAGGTGAACTCGAACTCTGTCAAAAATTCCTACCATCGAGCTTGCTTCGGAGTGATCTTCTTTTGATTTTGGAAATAAATTAGTCATATTGTCCATCTTGATCACGAAGTGAGTCTCGAGCAAGTAGAACCACGAAATGCCCATCATGCATCAATACTCCTCCAATGGCATAGTCCAAAGCATCCGTGTGGAGCTCGAATGGCTTCGAGTAGTTCGGAAGGCTAAGCACCGGGTCTTCCACAACCACCGCCGCCTTCAAGTTCTCGAAGGAAGCTTAGCTTTCATCGGTCCATTCCTAAGTAACATTCTTCTTCAGAAAATTGGTTAACAGTGTTGCCCTCGCCGAGTACCCCACAATGAACCGTTGGTAGTAGTTCACCAATCCAAGGAATGACCGAAGCTCTGAGACATTCTTTAGGGGCTCCCATTCGACATTAAACCGCACCTTCTTGGCATCCATTAAGATTTTTCCATGCTTCACCTTGTGCCCAAGAAATATTACCTTCGTATGAACAACCGAACACTTCTCCAATTTCACGTATAGTTCGTTCTCCCTTAAGGCTTGAAACACTAATCGCAAGCGTTCAGTATACTCGTTCAATGACTCGCTATATATGAAAACGTCATCCAAATACATTAAAACAAACTTATCCAAGAACTGATGAAGTATTTTCTTCATCAAGGTGCAAGATATAGTGGGTGCATTCGTTAGGCAAAGGGCATAACCAAAAACTCAAATGAGCTATACCTCATCACGCATGTGGTCTTCAGCTCGTCTTCTTCTAAAATTCAGACTTGCCAATACCCTCAATGCAAGTCAAACTTCGAGAACCACTTGGCTTTACGCAATGATCGAACAAGTCCGCCAGCAATTCACCTCACCCATTTCTCCAACTTGATTCATGATCGATCTCCCTCCTCGGTGGTAGCTTTTTCGGCAATTCGGGTGGCATCACATCTTTGAACTCAGCCAAAATGCTCTTGATCGCCTCTTGAGCATCTTGGTTCTCCATCGGGTCATCCTCCTTGAGGGCACAACATATGTCTTGTGCTCCCGCTTAATCTACTTTGACACTTGCATAGCCGAAAAACATGAGATTTAACTTTATCATTGTGTAAAGGAACATTAATAGTTACCTCACCTTCGGTAAAGCTCATTTCGGGCCTTGTGGCATGTCACCGTCATCTGCTTTATGAACTTCATTCCCAATACTACCTTGTAGTCATTCATTGGGAGAACCGTGAAGTCCAACTTTTCGTGCCACTCCCCAAGTAGAATTGGAATCTGCTTGGCCACACTGATGATCGGCTTCGATGCCGCATCCACCGGTTTCATCCATCCTAGCTCATTTGTTACTTTTACCCCATCTTAACCGCTTTGTCCTTGGCTAGGAACTTGTGTGATGCCCCCGTGTCCACCAAAGGCTTTGTAGTTTCCCTGTTTACTTAGGCCTCGATGTACATAAGGTCACTTTCGGACTATTTTTCCGTTGGCACCACAACATCCTCTATGTCACCCTCGTGACATTGAGGATTTCATTGCCCCCAATCATATCTCCTCGGGCTTTTCCTTTTCTTTGACTATAGTGGTGACATTGAGAGCTTTCTTCTTCGGGCACTCCCGAGCAAAGTGTGGCCCTTCACAAAGGAAACAACCCCGCTCTTTGGTACCAGCCTCGGTTGTCTCTCCTTGCCCTTGAAGAATGACTTATTCTCTTTTTATAGGGTTTGACTCCCCAACTTTTCTCCTTGACCACCTTCTTAGGCGCATAGTCCCATCGGAACTCCAAAAGATCCTTGGCCGCAGCTATGGCTTGTTGTGTATTTATTATTTTTTGGCACTTCAACTCGATAACTGCCCATAACTGTAATCCACCCAAGAAGTAGAACAATCAATCTTTCTCGATCATATTAGAAAGATCAAGCATAAGAGACGTGAACTTGTTGATGTACAATTTATGCTCCCTGAGTGTTTTAGGCAACACAACTTCTTCACGGCCAATTCATTGGCATTCTTCAAGTAAAATTATTGCTTCAAGTTAGACTTGAATGCCTCCCATGTTTCTATTCAAGCCATCCCACGAACAATGTCATTCTGGCATCTTTTTCACCATAATCTCACATCATCTGACATGTACAAGACCACCGTCTTGATCTTGTTCTCATCGTTCTTTATGCGTACTGCATTCATATAGTTATCGATGGACCATAAGAAATTATCAAGTTCTTTAGCATTATGCCTACATGAGTACTTCGGAGGTTTCGGAGTCTCGATGCGCAGTGCCTCCCATACCTTGGTGCCACCATCCAAGATGGCCTTGAATAGGGCCTGATCCTCTTTGAGATGTTCCAACCGCAAGACCATCTCTTCCCGCAAATCTGCTATCTTCACGGCCGACATAGCCTTCAGCTCCACCTTCAACTCATTGAAGGCCTCAGTTATGGTGCCTTTTAACTCATTAATCGCCCACAACATAAAGTTTCTCAGCTCTTTGAGCTCCGACATGGCTGTATTCTTGACCTCGCCCATGTTCGTCTCAAGGGTGTCCAACTACTCTAAGGACTCCCCAACAGCAACCTCGAGCTTGATTACCCGCTCGTCCATGCTAGCAAATGAGACTTTCTTCTTGTCTCTCGCCTCTCCTTGCATCCATTGTGGCCAACATTTCCATCTGACACATTTCCGTCGTTCCCTCCTGCCATTCCCACTACTTGCCAAAGCTATCGCTTTGATACCACGTGTCACGGGTTAACTTCAACCCATCGAACTAATTGTATGCTCCTGAGCAACTCACTCTGTTGGCTCCTAAGGTAGGCTTCCCGAGTCGGCCAAGCACCACAAACACCAAAAGCTTTTTAAAAAGAGAAACAACTAAAGAGAGGAAGTGTGGAGAGAAACTATGAACATTTTGATTTCTAATGCTTGAATGAATAAAATGAGAGAGGTGGAGGTCCTTTTATAGGCCAAGGACTTCACAAAACTATTATATAATTTACAACTATCACAGCTACATGTACAACAATCTAGAAACACCTTCCAAAATGGTTTTTGAATATGCCGTGACATATTCACCTTTCAAAATGGGTCTAGAATATGCCGAGAAATATTTCGAGTCTAGAACCTTCCGTAAAGTTTGAGTAAATTCCTTTGCACAAGAGAAAATCATAAGTATGAAAAAACCATTGTACCGCGGCCACCTCGAAGCCCGATCGTGACAAAAGGTTTAGTTTGATAATTCCTTCTTCACTTTGGTTAACATCGTGGGAATCTAGCCAAAAAAGGCTACATCCCCTAAATTTCTAGTTGAAATAAAAATTCAAAAGCCTTTTGTGCCTCGAAGGCCTCTATTCTAATGGCTTAAGCAAATATATCGGCCTCCGAGACATCCTCTTGTCTGGGATAGGCTCGCAACTTTCAATGCCATCGCTGAAGTTAGCTTAAAAAAGAACGGTGAGGTGTGAAGAATAATATCTGTCAATCAAGTTGTTATCATGTCTTATTTGACTTGTCGGCCCCATAAGGTGTTGAAGGATGGCAGTTGGGCAGTAAATCGAACTCCCAAGAAGTCGAAGCCACTGTCTCAATCATAGAAGAGACGTCAGCAACAGTAGAGATAAGTTCGGAGATGAGAGTAATAGTCACACGATGTAGGAAAAATAAAAATGTCTATAGCTAGATCAAAGCCCTTGACACATTCCGAAGGTTGCCAAGTGGCTTTCAACATCGATTGAAAAAGCCGGAGAGAATGGCAACTGAAGTAGAACCTAGAAGTGAGCAACTTGTATCCAGGGAACAAGTCAAACGCAATAAACAAATCGCACAGATAAAGAAGTTTGCATACAGAGACCAGCTCACACACAAAGAACACTTCACGTAGAGAATGAGAAATGTACCCTTAGATATGATTGGCTGTGCAATGTCAGTCTCAAAACCATAACATTGGACCTAATCCTAATACATAAAATGGTGATTCATTGTTTCGTAAGGGATGACCGGGTGGTGTGGGGAGAACTCGTGACCGTGAGGTCATGGATTCAAACTCTGACGCCTCCAGGTCTTGCATGCTACACATGGTTCGTCTAGTGTGACTTGTCTTGTTAGGCCTAGTTTGCAGGCTATTAAGTTCGACCAAAGGTTTACTTAGAGCGCACCAAAAAAATAACGGCTGCGAATTCCCACGATAGAAACATAAAATAAAATAGAATAAAATGGTGATTCGTAGTCCAATAAAAGTCATTATCAAATATTCAACTCCTAATTTTACTACCAATGTTAACTTATTCGTAAATAGATATTATTGAAGTTCCAAAATTAAGTGGATTATTAGAACTACTCTATATTTAGAAAACTACACAATAACATCCGTAAAGTAAGGATTTAAAATAACAGGATGGGGCGCCTCTCATTGTGTTATTCCAAAGCTAGAACCGAAATTATTTTTCGCAATCTCAAAATTGCAAAATTGAATACGAAAATACGTATGAATTTCGCTTTTCGGCAAAACTCAGTGTGTATTTATTTTGTTAGACAATTTGAATTAATATTTTCTTATGTGAGATATAAAAATGATATATAAAATATAAATAGAATGAATATATATAATATATTAATATTTTTTTTAAAAAAACTATATTTATATATTTTTTTAAAAGAATACACCCTCATTCCCTTCGCCAAATGAATAAACACTTGAAAAATATTTTAGCAAAATATATCATACACTATGTAAGTGTTTATATATTTTCCTCTTTAATATAATAATAATATTTTTTTTATTAATTTTTTTTATCTATAAATTTACATATATTTTATATTTTATATTTTAATTTTAATTGTATTTATATTTATTTTTATTATTATAATAATTATTATTAATTATTATCTTTAATTTGTTTATTAATTATATTATATAGTTCATATATGTCAATTTATGTTTTATTTTAAAATTTTTTTATCTATAATTATTTTATTAAATAAATTTATTTATCTATTTATCTTTATTTTTAATTATTTTTTATATCAAACATAATTTATTAATATTAATTTTTAAAAATTAAATTATTTTTAAGAGTAAATAAGTGTGTTTGTTTGGGAGTTGGAGTTTTGAGTTGGATTTTAAATAGTATGAGGGTGTTTCTTTAAAAATTATCTCTCAAATATGATTAATTAGACTTTTTATTTTTCGAAAGAAATATATATATTTTTTCTCATAAAATATTTATGTAAAGACATTTGAGTGTTTGTTTCGTGTTTTCCGATGGATATCTTTTATTATTTTAGATATAAAAAATAATATTTAATATTAAATTATTATTTATTTATGAGTTGATAGAGTATATATCCGTTTCATAAAATTATGACACTATTCATTTGTTGGTCAAAACTTATACACAATTTATTTATAGTAAACAATTGTATATACCTACAATTTTACTATACTTACTTTAATAAATACTAATAGCTAATTAGCCCCTACATTTTTTTATTCAATTTTTTTTTCGATTGTTTAATAAAATTTTTATAATACATCTATTTTACTTTTGATTAACCCTACTTACATTAAATATCATCATTCTTAGTCTTCATGTCCAACTAAAACTACATAATTTTATCGGATGAAAAGAGTATATTGTTATTGTTATGTATGAAATTTAGAATTAGGTTAAAAAAAGCCCAAGCCAGAATAGGAGATGGGCCTATAAGTGGGGCTGTCAGATTGATCAAGGAGTATTTCGAGATGATCGGGTGAATTAGACATATTTCTAAGGAAATAGGCGGGTCGGAAGGACCGCAGGTTGGAAAGTCCGCAGGTCCGAAGGTCGGAAGGTCCGCAAGTCGGAAAGTCCACAGGTCGGAAAATCCGTAGGTCGGATGGTCCGTAGGTCGGAAGGTTCGCAGGCCAGAAATTCCGCAGGTCCGAAGGTCCACAGGTCGGAAAGTCCGTAGGTCGGAAGGTCCACAGGTCGGATGGTCCACTGGTCGGAAGGTCCGCAGGTTGGAAAGTCTGCAGGT